GTTCCTGAATGATTTTGAATCGAGCTTGTAACACTTCAAATGCACGTACAATGTCCTTCCGACATCCTTCTTGATGTTTAGCAAATAACTTGTCTGCTTTGCTTTGGGGAAGTCATATCGATTTGACGAAAGTTGGATAAGAAGGATAGATACCATCAGCTACATAGTATGCCATGTCATACGGATGTTGGTTCACGAAAAAGTTCACTCTTGGAGTATTTCCTTGCTCAACATCATCAAACACCGGCAAATGATCTAAAACGTTTCTATCATTCAATGTGCCCGGACATCCAAAAAATGCATGTCAAATCCAGAGATCATGAGATGCAATTGTTTCAAGCATAACAGTGGTGGTTCCCTTATCTCCCCTAGTAAATTGACATTCCCATGCCGTTGGAAATTTTTTTTCATTCTCGGTGCATGTAATCAATACTCCCAATCATCCCCAGAAACCCTTGCATTTAAATGACATACAAAATTCTTTCTCCTTGAATTGTTTGAATTCATTCCATTCTTCGTTAACCGATTCCAAAGCTGCACCTCTACTCTTTGTTTTTTACCTTTTTATCTTATCTGCTTCCCTCCCCATTGGCCGTGCACTCGATTCTATAGAGTTGGAGTCACTTGCATCATTCTCGCGGGATCTCTTAGATCCACTACTTCTAGAGCCATTTTTTCCTCCAACCTGACTACCATAGCGCGATTGATCACGGACAACGAGCCATTTTGACATTAAATTAAAATGTTCACTCTTACCACCTGAATATATTTTGTGCGCTTTTGCCAAGACATCATTCTCCGACCACCCGTTTTGCTGCATACACTTAGCATTATAGTATGCGCCAACCCATTTGCTCAGCTTTTTGTTCATATATTTGTAATGGTTTCTGCACGAGGCTCCATCTCACGGAGGATCAAATGAGCAATGCTGGTTACAGTACTCTGCAATTTTACCCCAGTATGCTTCACTTTTTCGGTTTCTACCAGCAACACTGTTTGTTCCATATTTAATCCACCCGCTAAGTAGCACCAAATTTTTATCAGTCATCCATTCTGGGCTTTTCCGGCGAGCATGAGTTGGATCTTCTACAAATTCATTTTGAGTGGCTTCATTGACACGCTCGTGCCACTAAGACCAATTTGTGTAAAAAAATCAGGAAATTATGTTGCTCCATTATCTGGAACAATTTCATTACCCATTGAAGTAGAAGAAAAATGAGGTATTTGAGATAAATTTGTCATCATCGCTCCATAATATTGAGGATAGTTTGGAAGTGATGATGGCATAAAAATATTTGGTGCAAAACGGTAACTTGGTATATTTTGGGGTGTGTTTGAAGATTGATTTTAAAACTGATAGTTGTTGGAATTTGGATAATTGAAGGGTAAATTAGACGAATTTTGAGTGTTAAAATGAATTATTATTGGGGTCCATTAACAAAAAAAAAGTTTAAAAACATAATTTTTTTTATTTGAAGTTAATACCAAAAATTATAATGAAAATTGCTGTTTTTTTATGTATTCAAATGAAGTGAGGGTAGCTATTTATAAATCATACAAAATCATGAATTTTTCTATAATTTTTATATTTAAAAATATGATTATTACAAAATATTTGAGTTTTAATAATAGGAAGAGATAAGAATCTCTAAAAAAATTTGTGAACCAATAAAATCATAGTAAGTAAGATATTGAAGGAGATAAATGTGTTTTTTTAATGATGGTCGCGTGAAAAGCACCTCCTCCCTCTCTTTCTCCCCATTCAGACGTCGCCACATGTCACATGGACCCCATTTTTTCTTCATTCAACCGTGTTGAATTAATTTAACTGAGTGTAATCCACGTATACTTTTTTTCCATTCAACAAGTTCATTGTATGCATTAAATTATTGAATATGGTATTCAACTACTTCATTGCACCTATTCTAAAGAGTCATTCTTGTGTCAGAAGGTCCCGCAAACTAGAGGGGTTATTGGGATATGAATTTTTGTAGAGTTTGTGGATTGTAAAAGCTGATAGGTTTATAAAGTTTTGTGGATTACAAAAATATATGTATGTTAACTTGTAAAATTTGATCATAATTTTTTAGATTGCAATAGATTTTCATGAACTTGTATTTCATAAAAAAATTATATCTTTCCTTTTGTACAATAAATATATGATTTATATTTGAGAAATTCTCTAGCATAGTCATTTTTTAAGTTTTTATCACAATTTTATTTTTTTAATTATAAAATGACCAAAAGAATTTTTTTAGAAGGGTAAATATATTCTTATACCCTTAGGGTTAACTAAACCTAAACCTTTTTTTTTGTTTAGAGTTAAGGAGTATGCATTTTGAGGTGTGGTTTAAAATATTCAAAAATAGAAAATAAATATTAAAAATTTGAAAATAGTTTCAAGAAGAATTTTCAAATTTCAAAAAGGAAATTTTTTTAAAAAATATTTGAAAAGAAAATTTTGGAAAAAAAATTATTAAAAATATTTGAATCTGAAAACATATAATAACATAAAAATTATTTATTAATTACTTTTTCATCTCTTTATTTTTATTTTATAATTAGATATTTATTATTTATATTTATAAATCAAAGAGTAAAAAACATATTTGGTCTTTAATGAAACCTATTTTGGTCACTTTTATATATTATTTTAGTTTTTATTTTTCAAACAAAATAAACATATAAATATACATTAAAATGTAAGTAAGTAAAAATGTAATGAATTATAATTTAAGACATATAATTTTTAGTAAAGGTGAAATATATATTTGGTAAGAAGAATTATTTTGTTTTCTAAAATGTTTTAATCATATGGATAGTGAAAATCTCATGGATACATATGATATTTTGAAAGTCATGTTTTATGTGTTAAGAAGTAGAGAATTCATCTCCCAATAACACTAGATTTACTAGGTGCATAGTCCCCGCGCAAGTGCGGAGTCGCTGAGGGAACTGTAGTTTTATCCTTGCAAATGAGGATCGGGTTGTAGTAATCAGTCGATGAGGTTGCACCAACTTTGGAGACAATGAGAGACATCATGTTCACTGGCATAGTTTGTAGGCTTAGCTCATTGGGGTTGTGTTTTGTTTTTTTTTTTTTTTTTTTGCGTTTACGATGATGATTTGTGTCATAGATTATTTATAGGGAAGAGATGACCATGTGTTCCTTTTGTCTTACTGTTTTAGTAACTTAAGCTTTAAGGGTTTAAAGGCAGTTATATGCACTACTTTGAATGTTAGGCGCTAATATATCTGTGATTACATATAAATTGAGGCTTTTCATTTATCCTCATTTTAGTTTTAACATTATTAAATAGACGTGTATATATATATATATATATATATATATATATTTATATTTATATTAGTAGTATTATGAGTTGAAAGTATATTATCTTTGGTGAATAATTTCCAAGCTGTTAGTTTATTAGATTGATAAGTCAACTTAAGAATTTTATTGCAAGGAAGATGGGTGTATAAATAATTTTGGCTGTACTCAAAGGACTATATTATTTGAGAGGAGGATCTGTTATTTTTTGGGCACGTTAATATCGTTCATGTATGTTTGCGTTAATCAGAGACATCACACAGACTAAAAACCTGAAATTGTTGTGTAGACATTTTAAAATGGTTGCTGAGTGTTTTAATTTTACTTGCTTGTAGAATTATTTCATCCCTACGATTGTAGTCTACTTTGTGTTTTGAAATTGGAAAAAAGGAGACTGTTTTAGTGTGAATAAGTTCTAATGGTTTGAGCTAGCAACATGAACAATTATGATAATCCCGTGAACGCTTCATTGAATATTGAAAAACAAAAATGCTAAATAGTTTGAGGAAATTTAAAAACAAAACAAAGCTTGGACATAATGAAAAGAGAAAATCTATAACATTATTTGAGAAGTAAATTTGCTTAGTTGTCAACTTCTCCATGATTTTAGGTTATTTTGCTTATTTTCATGTTTTAATAATTTATTATAAAATAAAAACGAATTTATGTTAATAATATTATATTTTTAGAAAATATGTTAATTATTTTGTATTAGATTATTATCTTAAAAATATATTTTCAATTATAAAATTTAAGTGAATTTGCTGATTAATTTGTAACTTTCACGTTGAAAGTTAGAGCGGTTAATATCGTTTATGTCCTTAATGAATAATTAAATTTTTTATATAATTAAATATAAATAAAAAAGAATTTCAATGATTTTAGATTTATCTTTATCTAAAAATATTTTATATTGGGTTATAAAGTCTTTATTAACCTTGAAAAATAATTACATTAGTTAATATATAATTAATTATAAATTAAAAACGAATTTCATTTATTTGATAATTATCCTTATTTTAATTTTTTTATATTATGGGATAAAGTA